ACTGGCGGCCACATGGGGCGACTCTTGTGGCAATGTAAAGTTTTCTTTCAGAGTGACAATAGGCTTTTAGGAAGTTTTTATTTTCTAGAAAATTGCCAAAACATTGCTGCTTTTTGCATGAAAAGATTCTGAAATAAACACCTTAACCATGAAAAGCATAGGTGAAAGCACTTGTGACCTAGTTCCCCCTTTTTTGGCATTCCTTTTCATTTTTTTTCAATTTCAGCACTTTATCAGAATCACGTGCAACACCAAACAGAAAGAAACCTAACAGTTTGTTTGCCAACAATTTGACATTTTGACTATCGTGTTTATCAACAGTATTTATCGAAAGCATACCTCAGCCACTTAAAAAGTGTGCCTTTTTCTCTGGGGAACACGACATTTGATTTGTCTTTTAGTACATTTGATTACGTATTACAAACTTTAAAAAGGTGATAATATGATAAGAGACAAGAAGAATAAAGTGGTGACCAGAGAAAAGAGGGTGAAAAGGGGTTGATAAAAAAAACCTAAAAGTACGCTAAAACTTGTGATTGACTGACTGATTGACTGACTTACCTACTTACCTGCCTATATCTCACATGATTTAGTATTAGAATGCGGCACTTGGTACAAGATGTACTGATTTAGTAAAGTAAAATAGCTAGAACGATTTTCCTATATAAATTGCCCAAATACTACTGACAAAATCGTCAAGCAAATCAAGCAGTATCTGCTGACTAAAAAAGCTCCTTAAACAAAAAAACCATGAAGTTCCAGCTCTTTGTAGCAACCTGCCTTCTATTGGCCACCCTCTCTGAGGCATTTGTCATTCACAGTGTCGCTCATCAGGATGAGCCCATCAACACCTGGGAAAAGTTTAAGGTAGTACCATTTAACTGCCATTTTTGTTCTATTTTAAAACAACTTTCTTTCATCAATTTTCCAGAGCACCTTCAACAAGACGTACCACTCTGCAGAGGAGGAGGCAACTCGAAAGGCCAACTTTGAGCACTCCCTGGCCTGGGTCCGCGAGAACAATGGCCTGAAGAACATGACCTACGCCATCAACGAGCTCTCAGATTTGGTAACCTTTTTTTCAAATCAAAAAAAGCTCAAATAACTCAAACTTTTAACATTTTTAAAACCATTCATCCAACCAACAGTCTGAAAAGGAGTTCTTCGCTCTGAACGGCGTCCCCAGCACCAAGCCGCCCGGTGAGGAGTACTACAACTTCGTCCGTCTGAACGTCGACCCCAATCTGCCGCGGAGCATAGACTGGCGACAGTACTTTGGACCGATTGAGAACCAGGGTACATCATGTTACAGTGCAAACAGTCCCAGTTTTGTTTTAAACTCCCTTTCTAAACTTCTTTTTTATTCTTCTAGGTCAATGCGGCAGCTGCTGGAGCTTCGCCGCCTCGGCCGTGGTCGAGGCGTTGGGTCGCATCAAGCACGGTCGCTGGGACCAGCTGTCGAAGCAAGAGTTGATTGACTGCACCAACCAACAGCTTCACCCTGATTATGCGAATCTAGGCTGCCGAGGCGGGCACATCATCGAGGCCTTCCGCTACGTGCACGAGCACGGCCTGAGCACCAATGCCCAGTACCCCTACCAGATGGCGGTGGGCAACTGTCGGGCGGGGCTGACCACCCGCGATCCGCTGGCCAAGGTGGCCAGTTTCTTTCAGCTCGTCCCGGGGGCCACCTCCGACGCGGAGATGATGACCGCCCTGAAGTCCTATGGGCCGATTGGCGTGACCATTCACGCCAGCTTCCGCGAGTTCATGTACTACCGCGGGGATACGATCATGAACTATTTCCCCAATGGAAGTCCGCAGCTGAATGATCACGCCATCGTCCTGGTGGGCTATGGGACTACCAGCCAGGGCTACGACTACTGGATCATTCGCAACTCGCACGGGGCCAGTTGGGGCGACCACGGCTATGGGTACATGCTTCGGGGACAGAANGCGAGTTCATGTACTACCGCGGGGATACGATCATGAACTATTTCCCCAATGGAAGTCCGCAGCTGAATGATCACGCCATCGTCCTGGTGGGCTATGGGACTACCAGCCAGGGCTACGACTACTGGATCATTCGCAACTCGCACGGGGCCAGTTGGGGCGACCACGGCTATGGGTACATGCTTCGGGGACAGAACACCATGGGCATCAACAATAACGTCAACATTGCCATTGCCCCCTAGGGAGCCGGCACTATTAAAAAAGTAATACTCATTTTCCAACGTCACAATGTTGTTGTTGTTTAGAAAATTTTAATCAATACCTAGATTAAAATCTGTTTATCAGTCTGTAGTTAAAAAGTGCATAAAACTTGAAAGCCAAATCCGGTATTTAGAGATACAAATCAGGCTTTAAGCTTAAGAACTTTTGTTGACCATTTTTTCTTTTCCCCTTAGAGTGCAAACACCTATTTTTCTACTTTCTTTTCCCTTTTCATTGTATCACACATACCGTTCCCTCTTCTCACATGATTAGCAACTGAAACTAAAATAACTAAATGCAGTGTGCAACATNTGCAAACACCTATTTTTCTACTTTCTTTTCCCTTTTCATTGTATCACACATACCGTTCCCTCTTCTCACATGATTAGCAACTGAAACTAAAATAACTAAATGCAGTGTGC